TGCATCTCATCCATCATCACAGTGCTCCTTGAAGGCACCGATGGCAGCAGTCCCTTCGTGTGCAATGGAAGGGGGTATTTAACCTGAAGCCCTCTGGATGCGAGCTTGGTATCCACCCTCCGCCCTGCAAAAAAAAAAAAAAAAAAAAAAAAAAAAAAAAAAAGTCTTCTAATAACAAAGCGAAACTCTGGGACTTTGGAGAAATCTGCCTCGGCTGTGGATATTGTGTGGGGTCTGGGAGCATCACCTTCCCAGGGGCGGGACTGTTTGAGTCCCCAATTACGAAGGCTCACCCCAGCAGTGGAAACTTAATCTGTACGGATTTCAAACGCCTCCTCCCCTCCTCCCTCCGGTTTGGCCTTCCCACTCTTAATAAAACATTAAAAAACACTCCACACTATGTTGCCGGAGCGTGTTCAGCGAGTTTCCCTGAAGTCTGGCCGCGTTTCCTCCACCGGCACATTATAGCCGTCTCCGCGTGTTTGCGTGCAGAGGCGTCGGCGCTTGAGGTCTGCTGCCCTGCGAAGTGAGTGTGATGTTATTGTGTTCAAAGAGGAAGACGGAGCATATTCTCCACCAGCGCAGCGACGCTGTGCCCGCCTTTTCAACTTGAAAGATCAGTGGGTATTCTGTGTAACCTGAACGCAGCTTTGGGAAAGTGTTTCCCTTAAAAAAAGAAAAACCCCCAAAACAAAAAACAGAAGAAAGCCTCTTTCTTTTTAAAGATCATTACTCATTAGCATGCTGGGTTTAACTCGGGGGGGGGGGGGGGGGGGGGGGGGGGGGGCAGCGAGCATCATACCAGCAGCCTTCATGGTTCATGCCCTGTTTGCCCTAACTGGTCCTGCGAGTGCCACATGGGAGCGGACGCCGTCCCTGCGTGGTTGTACAAACACAGGCCCATAAAGTTGATCACTTAGGACCCTGAGCGCCTAGTGAGGGAGGCACCAACAGCACCTCCACCTTATGGAGGGAGACACAGAGGCAGGAAAGCCCAGCGGCTGGTCCAAGGGCCAAATCAGACTGGAAACCGGGGCAAGACAGGGGTGAGGCGGCCCTCAGCCCCAGACTGTGGTATACCCTCACCCCCGTGACGGGTAGGTGCCCCCCTCTTCTGTTCCTTTCTGTCCTCCGCTCTTCCTTTTAGGGAAATAATATGGGAAGTCGGATAATATCTACAGTTTCGAGAACACTTCTTGGCTTATTTTCTGTTTTCCTCTGAAGCGGCATCCCCACAGGCGCTGGTGGGGGCCGGAGGACTGGATTTCAAGGCTGCCTGGATGGCCCAAGGGTTGAAGGAAAGAGCAGAGTGAATGCTCCAGGCGCAGCAGGGGAGCGGGGAGCCATTCTGGAGTGTCCACCCCCCCAGCACCCCTCACCCCTTACCTCCCTCTACCTCACTATTCCGACTGGCCTGCAGATGAGCCCACTACGTAACCTGCACTCCTCTACTGTGACAGTGAGAAACCAGCCCCAGCAGTCAGGGGACTGCTCCTCCTCAAGCTCCTGCTGAGGCCTCCTCTTCCTTCCCTGCCCTCCCTCCTCCCCCCTCCCCACTCCTCTCTTCCTCTTTCCCCTCTTCCCCTTTTCCTCCCTCCTCCTTCTTCCCTTCCCTCCTTCTCCCTCCTCCCTTTCCCTCCTCCCTCCCTCTCTTCTTCCTCACCTCCTCTCCCTTCCTCCTCCCCTCCCCTCTTCCTCTTCCCCCTTCCTCCTCCTTCCTGCCCCCTCTGCCCTCTTCCATTCTCTCTCTGCCTTCCTCCCCACCATTTCCTACTTCCTACCCCCTCCACTCTCCACCCTCCCCACCCTCCTCCAATCTGACTGTTTCCAGACATCCACCTGTGCCTCCAGCCTCCTTCCTGGCCTGCACACCGACCTCCCCCAGGAGGGACCAGAGGCCCCTCGGACACAACATGCCTAACCTGTGTCCATCTTCCATTCTCCAGCAACACATGGCACCTGGCCCTCTTCCGTTTCCTTCCTGCTGTCTTGGTGAAGGCTGCCTGACCCCTTAGGTCAGAACGGGGGCCACCCCTGACTGCGCATCCCCCTGGCCTGTCTCGGCCTGACCCTAGCCCTGCTGCCCTGGCTCTGAGTACCCACTTTTCTGCTCACTCTCTGACTACTGCAGAAGACAGTTTGCCACAGCCGCCCCCCCTATGTCCTCCAAGCCAGCAAGGTCATCTGTATTCTGTGCCAGTGTGCCCTGTGCCCCCTGCTCATAGCACAGGGATGGCACAGCCGCCGTGAAGTCCAAATTACTCCACACACAGAGTCCTTAGAACCATCCAGAGAGGTGAGGGGCTAGCTAGTATTCAGGAGTGTGGGTTTGGAGCCACATGGCCCGGCTCACATTCTGGGCCCTGCTCACTACCTGCATGGCCTTGTGTTCGTGTCTTGACTTCTCTGTGGTCCATCGTCCTCACCGGTAAGATGGGGATGAGAATAGTACCGCCAGAGCGTGTCAGTAGATTGAATGAGTACATTAAACTGTTTAGCCTGGGAACCAGCATCGGTGCTCCACTATCACTTCCTCATCCAGCAATTACTGATCTAGTCAGTGGTCCAGGATCTACGACCAGACCCCTGGTTCCTGTCCTGGCTCTGATGTGTACTTGCTGTGTGACCCTGGGAATTTACTGAATCTCTCTGGGCCTCAGGGTAAAGTGGGGCAGATAAGAGCACCTGAGCAATAATTAGAGGAGACAAGCCTGTAAAGCCATCAGCATGCAGGAAGTGCTCCCAAGGGTCTGCTGGACCGATTTCATTGTGATAATTGCCACCCTGAGGCCTAGGCTAGGTTCCGGGCACAGGCTAGGAATGCGTGGACGCTTCGATGCCCTGTTCATAACTTCTGCTCCAGCCATCAACATGTCCCCGCAACACCACCTTGCCACGACACTATTCGTGTGGGATCTTCTGCCTTCTGTGCATTTTGAGCCACCTTTGGGAAGCCTCCTCCACTCAAAGTAGAAGCGTGTGGAAGATGTGCTGCCCACAAGCCTCTTTACCACAGTGTGGGGCTCCCGCACCAGTGGTGGTGACCTTGAAGCCAAGAGCCAGGGGCAGTTGCCCCGTTTCCTGGGCCCTGGCATGGAGGAGGTGGTGAGTGGCTGGGTGCCAAAGGAAGAAATACCCAGGGACAGCCTGCAGTGTGACTCTGGACAGTCACCTTCTCCGGCCTTCTAACTATGACCTCACCTCCGGGATCTGTCACCTGAAGCGGGTTTCCATTTCCCCGGAGCTAAGGTGCTGAGGCTGAGAAATCTCCCTATGAAGGCGATCTATAAATCCTGTGGAAGTCCTGAGTTAGCAGAGGTGTTTGCAGATTTCTCCGAGCTTTGACACTTCTCCTAAAATTCACCAATCCTCTGTATGCAATCACGGGTCAGGTTGTGGCTCCTAGAGAAAGCGCCCTTCTGCCGCTACGGGTATTATCAGTGGCAGAGGCGAGGCCCCATGCACCTGCCCCGACCATATGGTAAAATCCCTGGACATTTGTGAACAGGCTCCCTGTAGCTTGGGGGGGGGGGGCGAGTGTGTCCCACACGGAAACACATTCTAGACAAGGAACAGCAGAGGTGCTTCTGTGTGCCGTCCCACTTAGGTCTTCCGGATCCTGCGGTCTGCAGCCCACATGCCTGCACACGGATGCGTGCTAGGTGGCTGATTAGTCCAGTGAGCTCACAATTGAGAGCTTGGGGCATCATATTCAGCTCTGATGCATCCACACAGCAGCAGGTCCTGCTATCCTTCTAGATTTTTCAAAGTTCTGCTCCAAGCACGTAAGTTTTCTTTTTCCTGAGTCACCCAAAGAGAGCATTACAAGCATACCTACATCCATATATCAATATCCCCGGATGGTCTTAGGGGCGCCGAGTGGGAACAATCAACAGATAGATTTTTATTTGTGGGCATTTCTTAAACCATTTCCCCCCTTTTTAGTGCACTGAAGGCTATTCTGGATTTTATCTTAAATTACTTTGCCTTATTTAGCTGGTGTTTCTTGACCTTGATCCCAAACCACCCAGGGACTTTGCTCTGGCAGGCTAAAGCCATACACAGACCAGCTGAGGTGGCCCCCACAGACCCGCCCATCCCCTTGCTCAGCTCTGGTGTCATGTGAGAGTGGTCTCACGGTCACCAGGCTTACCTCCTAAATACCCTCGTCAGGAAAGAGGCTGCCCTGACCGCAGGCTTCTGTCCATCAAGTGCTTAGTACATTTTCAAAATTCTTAAAGGCTGTTCCTTCAGCTGCGAGCCTGACAGCACAACCCTGCGGAGAGCCTGGTTGATCCTGCTGATTTCCCACGACTGTAGGTGTGGACTGTGCCTTGCAATCCTTCGTGTCCGGACCTGAATTTTGCTGAGCCTCTGACCCTGAACTGGGGCCCAATTTGGGTCTCTACAGCTCCAGGGCTCCCCACGTAAAAACAGGAGATGAATTAAGTTCACAGACTCGCCATCCTTAGCAGATAGTTTATCCTGTCCAGGTCTCTATTCTGCTTTGTGAACCTGTCCTCGACTTGCCACAGAGCCAGCACACTTGGAGCGGATGCACAGAACCCTCTCTAGGTACAATCTGATCCCAGCAGGCCCACCGAACGCTACCCTGATTGAATTCTCTGACTTCGCTGGCCCCATTCCTGGGAGATCTTACCCAAAGCTGATCCAGGTTCTCCAGGATTTACCCACACTGAGTAGCCCAGGCATTCCCTGATGAAGTATGTCTACAGCCGCCAGGCCCTCACATCCAGCCACCAAGAGTCACGGCAAACAGTGTCCAGCTTTCCATGTTTCCTGCATGTCATTCCATAGAAACTCGAAACTAAATTATCCTGCTAACTTTGGAATCCGCCCATCTGCCATTTCATATGGATAGTCAGTGATCTCTGGATAGAGATGCACACTCAGGATTTGCTTGCAAAGCTAGCAGGGGGATAAAGTTTGCTCTGCTCTCTCCACACTCAGGGAAGGAAAACCTCACAATGTACAAGGCACCAGAGCAAACTAAAGAACATATTTTATTTTTAATAAAATAGTGGAGCATGAAAAATATCATATATTACAAATATACACAAGCAGGACCACTCTTCCCTGGGATGGTGGGGGAGAATAATGTAGACTTGTCTAGTGCTTCTTGAGCTATTCATGGAAACCATTTGTTTAACAATAGAAAGAGTCAATAAGCCCTTTGGATACTTTTGAATGATCTTTCTTCCCTCCCCCCCCCCACCTCCTTTCCACAAATCAGTCCAAACGTGTATAACATTGGCTTGGTTTCCATTAAAAAGCCACAAAATGTAACACTAGAGGGTTTCTGAGGGCTGGGCCTCTCCGTGCTTTTGTTGGGATTTCTTTTGTTGTCTTTATGTACAGCAAAATACTTGTTTCTCTTTTCATTTTAACGGAAAGAGGGAAGAAACGTATTGCACATTGTTTGCATTTGCAAATGTTAGGTTTGGTGGAAGTTTCTGTCTTGGAGAAAGACCATTTGTGAAGGCTAGAGGCTGGAGTCTATTTTAAGTGACTCCAAATCCACTGGAGTGTGCTAAATTGTCAGGGTTCCCCTTTCTTCCTGTCTGCACAGAAGCTGCTGTCCCACACACAGCCTTCCTGGGGGTGGGTCCCTAGGATGGCTCCTGCCGGAGACCCACTTCCCTCTCTCTTTCTCTCTCTCAACCCCCCCCCCCAATGCTCCCAGCAAAAGTTCTTCAATGTACAAAGAAGCCATCTCTCCTCTGACTTGTAAATGGGTAGCAAAGCCAACTCAAACACACAGCTATGTATTTATGGAAGCTTCTAAACAAAAGTTTTCTTCTGGGGGCTGAACCAACTACTTTACCACAAATTAGTTACACGAGAGGCTACTTAATTGAGGAGCTCTCCTTGCGAAAACAAAACAAAACAAAACAAAAACCCCATAAGCACATTTTTACTTTGAGCGTACCACAGTATCCTGAATTTAAGAGTAAAAACTTTTTTCGTTTACTTTTATTAAAAACAAAACAAAACAAAACAAAACAAAACAAAAAAAAAAAAACAACCAACCAGGAAAAGCACCATGTTTTGGCTCTGATTGCCATTGTATCCTGTCTGGGAAGGTTTTCCACGCCGGCCTCCCCCAGAAGCCAGTTCACACACACGTGGGAGGCTGTGCAGGGATCTCATATTTTCCGAGGTGGGTTTTTGGGGGATGCTGGGCTTTTTTGTATATCCCACTATTGGTGATCACGCTGGCAGGTTTCCTCCTGCTCTTTCTCTTGAACCTGCGGCTGCAAACATTCTGCCAGGACTGCAGGGTCTTGGATGTCCAGATCCACATGCCGCTGGTGATGCCCACCACCAGCAGCATGAAGATCTTCACCATGAAGATCTCCACCGCTGGGATGGACGCAGCCATCACACAGTCCAGACTTTTGGTCTGGTTGTTCATTTTGCACTTGTGCTGCGTGGCTAGGATCTTCCAGTGCTCCATGTTGAGGCGTTCGTAAAAGTAACAGGCGATCACACAGGTGGCCGGCACGGTGTAAAGCACCGAGAAGACCCCGATTCTCACCATGAGCTTCTCCAGTTTGTCCGTGTTCTCCCCACCGGTCTTCATCACCCTCCGGATGTGGAAGAGTGCCACGAAGCCAGACAGGATGAAGGAAGTGCCGATGATGAGGTAGCAGGCCAGTGGGATGAGCACGAAGCCGGTGAGGGCGTTCACGTCCATGCTGCCCACATAGCACACGCCGGTGAGTTCGTCCCCAGCCACCCGGCGCATCACCAGGATCAGGATGGTCTTCACCGCCGGGATGGCCCAGGCTGCCAGGTGGAAGTAGCTGCTATTGGCCTCGATAGCCTCATGGCCCCACTTCTTGCCCGCAGCCAGGAACCAGGTGAGTGTGAGAATCACCCACCACAGCGAGCTGGCCATGCCGAAGTAGTAGAGGACCAGGAAGACAAGGGTGCAGCCGGTGCTCTCCAGCCCCTCCTGGATGACATAGAGCTGTCCGCTGTCCCGGTCGCAGGCGATGCTCTCGGCGCCAGCGAAGAGGCGGATGATGTAGCCCACGGAGTAGACGCAGTAGCACATGGAGAGGAAGATGATGGGGCGCTCCGGGTACCTGAAGCGGGCCGGGTCGATGAGGAAGGTGAGCACGGTGAAGGCGCTGGAGAAGAAGCACAGCACCGCCCAGACGGCCAGCCAGACCACCGCGAAGCGCTTGTCGCCGCGGCTCCAGTACACGTCCACTCCGGGCGTGCAGAGCGGCGCGCACGCCGCGCTCTTCCCCACGTGGTGGAACTTGCCCGGGTTGTCGCAGCCGGTGCGCCCCTGGCCCGCGTCCCTGAGCGGGTGCTCCTGCGCGCTGTGCGGCCGCTGCGGCCGGAAGAGCGGCGGGAACAGGCCCGAGCCCCGGGAGGGCTCGTCCGAGCCATTGTTGGGCGCCTCCATGCACAGGTAGTTGGGGTCGTTCTTGTTGGGGAGCCTGCTGCAGTCCAGCGAGTCGGGCCACTTGAAGTTGAACTGCTCCATGATCGGGGAGCACTTGAGCCGGGCCTGCTCGCACATGACCCGGCAGGCAGGGATGGGGGTGGAGACTTGCTCGGTGCACATGGGCGCGTACAGCGAGCACAGGAAGAAGCGGAGGTGGCCGTGGCAGCCGTACTCCACCAGCGGCGCGAACTCATGCAGCTGGATGGCGGCCTCGCGCTGGTTCTCGTGGCCCATCAGGTTGGGCATGCGGGTCATGTTGTAGCCAATGTCCTTGCACATCGGGATCTCAATGGGTTGGCACTTGCCGTCGCCCGGACGCTCCATGTCCATGGAACTGATGGCGGCGCACGAACCCATCACCTGCAGGACCAGCCACAGGCGGGGGCCCGGGCGCGGCATGCTGGCGGCGGAGGTGCCCGGGCGGGGAGGTCCGCCCCGCTCAGCGCCGACGCTGCCCGGCTCGGGCCACGGGCCCCGGCTCCGCGTCCCCGCTCCGGCCCCCGCCCATGCCCGCCGCGCCGGCCGGGGCGCTGCGCTCCGCGCCCCCGGCCTCCGCCGAGGCGGGGCCGCGGGGGGTGGGGGGTGAGCAAAGTTGGCCAACGGTACCGGGAAGCGCTGCGGGGCCGGGGCTCCCGGCGGGCGGCGACTCCCCGGGCGCGGCAAACTTTGGGCTCTTCCGCGAGCGCCCCGGTGGCGCGTCCGGGAGGCCGGCGGGCGGCCGCTCCTCCCTCCGCGCCGGCCTCGCCGGGCCGGGCCGCAGCTGCTCGGCGCCGCGCGTCCCGGGCGGGGAAGACGCGCAAAAGGCGAGGGGGGAGCGCAGCCGGGCGGCGACAGGCCCCGCCCCCGCCCCCGCCCCCGCGAGCGCGCCCCGCCCCGGCCCCCGCCCCCGCCCCCGCCCCCACCGCCGCCGCCGCTTTGCATGAGAAAGCCGGCCCGGCGCCCGCTCCCGCCGCCCGGCCCGCGGGTCGGACCCCCGCGCCCCCGCCCCCGCGCCCCCGCCCCCGCGCCCCCGCCCAGGGAAGCGCCCAGGGGCCCGCATCGCTGAGGTTCCGGGACGCGCCGGGGGCGCGGGCGGGTGGTCCGCGGCGGGGGGCCGAGGCGCATCCTCCGTCGCCGCGACGGTGGGCCCCGGGCGAGGGCGCTTTCCAGGAGAGGTGGGACTGGCGTTTTACAGCCCCGGCCATCAAGTGGCCCCTCGGCTCGTAACCCTGCCCGCATGGTCCCCGGGAGCCCCGGGAGTCGCCAGGCCTGCGCCCCCGGCTCGGGCTCCGGCTCGGGCTCCGGCTCCAGGGAGTGGTTTTCTTTGAGATTTCAAAGGGAAGAGCTTAGGGCAGAGGGGGAGGGGCCGAGGGAACCCTGACTTTTGGGGCCGCTCCTCCGAGGCCTCCGCGGGAAAGGCGGGCCACAGGAGAGGAGGGCAGCCTCCCGGGGCGCTGGGGTCCTCCCGGCCTCTCCCTCGGGAAGTGGGGCCCAGGCTTGGGCGACGACCCCCGCCCCCAACGGGGCCGCGGAGCCTCCGTAGGCGCCTCTCGCCAGGCAGGGCTGCTGACGCCTGATGCCTTGGAGGCGGCTGAGTTTATTTATTATAGGAAGTCATTCGCTCGTCGGCTATTTGTATTATTTGGCGAGTGAGCTGCCCTGCCTGCGCCCTCCTGGGCTGCAGACCCGTCAGAGGATGCGGAGCTGGGGGTGGAAGGTCGCGGTCCTCGAGGCGAAGGGGGGCGTCCCTTTCCACCCCGACCCTCCCTTACCCCGGAGCCAGTTTGTGACAAAGTCATTTGGGGCTCAACGACCCCGCGGGTCTACTGCGCTGGGTGTGCGGGGTGGGCGCCCAGACCCCTCCTTGTCTCCAAAGGAACGTGCAGAGCGCCGCACCTAGCACCCCGTGGTAGCGACCCTTGAATAACCGAGTCCCCTGGCAGGTGGCGGGGTCTCTCTCCTCTTAGACGCCCTCGAGGTCAGGATCTCTTTACGTTTCTGAGACTCCCAGGATCGCGTACGGAGGGGGCAGTAGGAGGGCTGGCCGGCGGAGGAGGAGAGGTCGACAGTGGAGAGGTGTGCCGCGTGAGCAGACATCCCTGGGGACGGTGTCGCTCCCTCAGGCTCGTCGCCCTGCACCCCGTTTTGGAAGGGCTGAATGAATCCCCGCAAGGGAAACGCTGCCTCGGGTGTTGCCAGCTACCTCGAGGAGCGCTCAGGAAGGAGAGGCTACTGCCAGGCACTCCTCCTCCCACCAGAAGCTTTTTTGTAAGCAGTGGCAGAAGTGGGGCACTTCCTCTAAGAAGGCTTTTTAGAAGATTGGCTTTGAATTAAGGCAAATGGTACTGTTTTACATCTGTAAGAGACTTGGGAGATCTCACGTACCTACCTACCCTTCCACCCAACCACACCATCCATCTATCCATCCCCCATGCATGCAACCACCCATCCACCTATCCGGCCACCCACACACTTATCCATCTACCCACCCACCCATCATCCATCCATAGATACATACACGCACACACACACACACACACACACACACACATTCATCCACCCATCCATCCACCATCTACCCACCATCCACACACCGACTATTCATCTGTTTGTCTGTCATCCATCCACCCATCCACCTAATCACCATCCACCCATCCTTCCATCCACTCATCCACTACCTACCCACCATCCGCTCACCAACTATTCATCTGTTCATCTGTCATCCATCCATCCACCTAACCACCATCCACCCACCCATCCATCCACCCATACACCGCCTATCCACCATTCACCCACCCTCATGCCCATGACCCATCCATCCATCCATCCATTCATCCATCCATCCATCCATCCATCCGGTGAACACCTAGAAGACTGAGGCTGGGGCTTACCCAGGATCCCAGAATTACTAATAGGCAGGTTTGTACAGCTGTTCTTGAACCACTGTCCCTGACTCTCACTGTAGGGTGTTGGAAGATGCTGGAGTGAGCCAGTTGATGGAAAAGAAGGTAGACGCTAATGCCATCAGAACAACCACCTTCAACCCTGTTATTATTTCTCAAGTTAAGAAACAAAACAAAACAAAAACATTTTTTTTAAAGACTGCCATTTTCCTTATGCCTTTTGTTTGGTTTTGTTTAGTGACTTATTTTCAAAAACTTCAAGTTAAACAAAGTTTAGCGGATATCACTTGGCTTCTTCAGAATTTTCCTTGCCAGAGTCCTCCGTTGGCACCATTTTGTCTTTTTTCCTTTTTGTTTCTCTCCCTCAGAAACCGTGGACGCAAAGGAAAGCACCAAACGCCAGGAGTGGGCGTGAGCTCTTTGAGAAAGTGCGTCCTAATTGATCTTTTATGTGCCGTTTTAATTCAGCCATGTTCAGACCCATTATTTTAGCTATAACCACTTCAGATCGCTTTCTTCCCTCGTTTTTATAAAAATGTCTGCAGAAGTGCTCTGCGCTGCCCAGCTGAGGCGGAAACCAACAAATAGACATTATTATAGAAAAACGAGGGCTCTGAGAAATGAGCAACTGCAAGATAACTCTGTAACTAATAAATGAAAAGGGCCTTTTGATGGCTCCAGCTGAAAAGATATTTTATTTTATTTTTTTCCTGTGTGTGGGATTTGAGATGTGTGATTGTAAGGAGCAGCGGGGTCCCCTGCTGCTCGGCCCTGGCTGGCAACCGGCCCCCCTCTGGCAAATGTTATGGAGAATTGGGAGGAATTTTATGGCTGTCTTTCCCCTCAGCTCTTTTTTCCTTTGTCTTCTTTGAAGAATGACTTTAGACATTTTATTTACATATTTAACCATGGATGAAAGAGGCAAAAGAAAGCATTTGGGGCTGTCCTGGGAATAGTGATATGTTTAAATTAATGGAAATCTTATTAGGCCTCTAAAATTTTGAGCAAAGGTTTTTAGTGAAACTTTATAATTAAACATGATTTCAAATAACTTGCAGGGTTAAGGAATACTATTCTTTTTTTTTTTTTTTTACCCCAACCACCTAAAAAAAATATCGGAGAGCTACTCTTAAACACAAGCCACCTTCAAGTTCTTGCAAATGCTTACCCAGAAAAGTAGAAGGTTCTCTGAAAGGGACTATTTCTGAAGTCAGGCAGTGTTTTGAACAATACCTAAATATTTTTGGATGGAAGAGACTTGAAAGAATGGCAGTGACATCCCGCCCTAGCAGAGGCCGAAGTATGAAATACTTTGACATGGATATTGCTAAAAATCAAAGTTGTATCTCTTCTTATTATGTTATAGTCAGTGGAAATTATAGGCACTGTGCTTGGCTCTCTGAAATGAGATTAGAGAAAACCCACATAATCTCTTTAAGATAAAAGCACTGACACTTTCAGCAAGAGAAAGAAATTAAAGCGGAGACTTTGCACGTTACAGGCTAATCGCAAGAGTAAAGTTGTGGAGTATCAGCAAAGCCCGTGGAAAGAAATGGGATAGTCTTGGGGGGAGGTTTCAGATACAGCGTGGCTCAGGCAGTCCCGGTGCCTGGTGGTGGGCTCTGGCTTGGATGCTTTCTCTGGGCAAGTTTGGGTTTGGTGATCCCGTGAAACGCTGGTTATGCTCTTTTATCTCCCAACGTCATTAATATGTGTGTCTCATCGGGCATTCCAGTTTCGCTTCCCAATAAGATGAAAATGTGGTCTATGTGCTGATATTGCCCGACAGGCAGAGGGGTCTGTGATACCCGGGAGGCACTATTGCCTTGACCTCATCCTGTGGTACATTTCTGCAGAAACTTATTATCTGATTTAAAAAAAAAAAAAAAAAAGCAGGCAGGGAAAATTCTATTTCTAACTGCCCAAGAGCACCAGTTACCCCGTCCACCCCGCTTCATTTTTCTCGAAAGAAAACACCTTCCGTCCTCTGAAGTGATCCTTACTCAGGGAAAGCATACTAGTCTGTGCCAGGGGGGGACCGACGCCAGCAAATGCAACAGGCACAGAAGTTCTAAGGACACCTAAGAACACTCTCGTTTGTAAGATGCGAATTTGGGTGTGGGGTGGGGACCGCAGCCACTAAGGCGTGCACATCGCAAAAGGGATGACTGGCAAGCAGTGGGTTAGTTCAGCACAATTTAGGCAGTTATTTTAAGGCCACGTCCCCTGAAATGTGGTTTGAAATATTACCAGAGGTTCCACGGGGTGCATTAGTGTGAATTGCAAATCAGAGCATGCCTCTAATCCCCCTTTCAAGGGCCGGCTTTGGATCACTGGCGTCTACGGGGCTCCCCACTGCTTCTGGCGTAGGAGGGACCATTCAAGGGGGCAGCTTCTCTCTGCTATTCCCACACTCCAAAAAAACAACACCGCAGACAGACACCCTCCAACTAAATTAGATTAAACTCCTTGTTCTCCACAGCACATTAGTCTTTTCACTGCCCAGCGGTGATTATTCGGAACCTCCTAATTTAAAGGTACAGTATTTCTTTTTCAACAGGAGGGCGGCAGCAGCAGGCATCCTGAAAAAAGACACAAAGCCAGCCTTCATGTAAGTGCTCCCAAATTACAAGGACATTATCTGTTTAAAATATAGGAAAGACTTAGCGCATGCCTGCCCCAAAACACAAGCAAATTGACCCTTAACCTGCAACAGGACCCGCCCCTATAAAAAAAAGTACCTAAACCCATTCTTCTTATACGGGACTGCTCTTTTTTTGTTGTTTTTGTTTTTGTTTTTGTTTTTGTGGGGGTTTTTGAAGCGGAATTATATGTATGAAAAAATGAATCACAGAATCCCAGAGAAATGAAACAAAAGAGATTCTAGTGCTTGCGTGTGCATGTTTTATTCCGGAGTTTTTTTTTTTTTTTTTTTTTTTTTTTTGCATTTAGAATCCACGCAGCTTCAAGGGACAGTTTTTTGGAAATGAAGCCAAAATGATGAGTTCAAACTTCATTTTTGGTCCTAATTGTTTGGCTTTCCCGCCCCCGGCCCCCCACCCCCACCCCGTCTTGTGTTTGGGATATATTGATTTAATTACTCACGTTCCCATCTGTTTCCTTTCTGTGTCACCCCCAGCCCTGCAGTCTTTCATGGCCTGTCCCCTGGAGCAGGGCCATCACATGGGAGCCAGGGAAGGGGTCAGCCCCCCACGGGCTTGCTGCCCCTGCACAGGTGACAGAAGGAGATTAAACAGGGAGACCATCCCTTGAGGGACAGAGCAGGGGACGCCCTCCGGCCTGGTCCTGCCTCAGAAAGAAGCAAGAGGGGCCCCACATTCCCACTTCTGACTTGTGTTGGTGGAGCGTGAGACCACGTGGCCAAACACAGGGCAGCCCCTCAGCGAAGGTGGGGAACCCCGTGGGCTGGGGGTCGGAGCTCCTCTACCGCCTTCCACCACATGACCCAGGGACAGGTCCTTCAGGCCTCCGGCTTCAGTCTTCTCAGCTGTAAAACAGGCATCAGTAGGGCTCCAGCCCCCCAGGACATGGGGAACACTTCTAACACCGCCACCGCCACCGCCACCGCCACCGCCACCGTACGGGCAGCATTGGGATCCCATGCAGCACCACAGTGTCGGCAAAAGGTCGGGGCAACGCTGAGAGATAACCAGGACCAGAATGACACAAGGGGACATCCGTGTACATGAATAATGAAAATGCTAGCAAGCGGGAGAAGCCCACTGAGCATGTACAAGTGCCGGCAGCGGCTGAGCCTCTCCTGTGGGGTGACTTACAGCACCCTGTGGGGCCTGTCCAGGGGAGATGCCCGATTTAGAGATGAGGAACTGGGGCCTTTGGAGCCCAAGCAACTTGGCCAGGGCCATCTGGTTGCCGGGCAGCAGGGTCAGGACGCTACCCCTGGCGGCGGGCCCCCAGCTCTGTGTGCCGTGGCCCCTCACGGTGAGCTCTGTAAGGGAACAGCCTTCTGTTCAAACAGGGACCCTGTTCCCATGTCACGTCAGCAGCCAGGAGGATTGGGATGTGTCTGCCACTGTCTTATGATCTTGATGTTCTGCTCTCTTGGGTTCGCAGGGATCCTTGGCAGTCACCAATGGTGAGGAAAAGGCAGAGGAAACACCACGTGGGAGGTACTAGCGTGTGTTGGTTTATTCCTGTCCTCGGCTGTGTGGCTTCAGGGGAGTCACTCAACCTCCCTGAACTTTGCTGTAAAATGAGCCTGGTACCAGTACCCCCTTTATAAGTCTGGGGTAGGCTGAGGTGACACCACTCGCGAAGCACCGAGACACGTGTCTGGCACTTGAGTGTCAGCCGAGCGGGGCTCATGGTCTCTCGGCGCTGCGGTTAATCTGCTGTCTTCGTCCAAATCCTCAACATGTCTTGGCTCGCTAGAAGGTTCAGGGCTTCCTGACAGCCTCACCTGCGAGTCTCCTTTCCGGCAGCCCCCACACTGGTGGCTGCCCCATCCTGCCCGGGGGTAAGCAGTGGGCAAGCCAGAGGGGCCCACCCGGAGCAGCGCCGCAGCCTGCCCCTGCGTCCAGGCGGCCGCCGTCGCAGAGCTCAGGCAGGTGCTCCTGGGGCCTCCCGGGGCCTTTCTCCTTCCCCTCGGGCGACGATCGGAGACACAGACCCGTGGCCTTGCTGACGGAGTCGAGTTTGGGTGCCTGTTTCACAGTGAGGAATCAAAGTCATATTCAAGTTGTTGTCTGCACCCCTCACTGTAAATGGCAGTTCCCGTGAGAAAGCACATTTTTCTCCACGTCCAGGAGAGGGGAGGACACAGAATTCTGCTGTCCCCGCCCGCATTTTGCTGTCTGTCCTACAGGAAGATTTGAGGAGGCTTCGAATCGCGCTTCTGTAGCTGAGACCAGTGAGTCTGGGGAGGGACGCTCAGCCTCCTCCCACAACGGCCAGTCTTTGTCTCTCTCCTCTCCTTTTCCTTCCCTCCCCCATCGATACCTGTTATATATAAGATCTAACCATATAAATGCTCCAGCTGTGAAGCTGGATTTCCAAGCTGGATCCTCTGTGGGTTCCTAGGATCGAGAACTGTGCCTGCCCAATTCCTGTTTCCTCAATAATTCAACAAATGACTTTTTCCCTCACTGCTGTCCTACATGAAACGTCGTGCTCCCTCTATGGCTGGGAGATTGGGAGACACACAGGCTGTGCCAGCAACCTGCTGACACACGGAGAAGGGACCCATGTGGCTGGACTGGTTCCAAGGTCCCAGCCAGAAGAGGAGTCTTATCTGTTTGCCCCTCCCCTATCTATTAATATTAGATAATATTTATTTTCCCCTACGACCTTGAAAGACTCGGTAGTGATTATGAGTCAGAAATGTGGGCAGCCCAGGTGGCTCAGGGGTTTAGCACCGCCTTCAGCCCAGGGCCTGATCCTGGAGACCCGGGGTCGAGTCCCACATCAGGCTCCCTGCATGGAGCCTGCTTCTGCCTCTGCCTGTGTCTCTGCTTCTCTCTCTCTCTCTCTCTCTTTCTCTCTCTCCCCCCGTGTCTCTCATTAATAAATAAAATCTTAAAAAAAAAAAAGTCAGAAATGCTTTCAGGCTGTTGCGGTGTCTCCCCTGCTCCGTCAGGTGTGGGCAGTGGGAGGAATGGAGGCTTGAGGACATGGGAAAAGTAGAACCGGCGTTCGGATCACAACACTGAGTCCCACTCATGGGACACCGGCCAGGCACGGTCCTCAACCTTCTAGGAAGCTCCGCTCAAGTTTTTCATCCTTCTACAGCTCCATGCAGCCTGAGTACAGTAGGCCCTGCTCCCCACTGCTCCCCCCTCCCTGCTCCTGTCCTCCAGAGCCTGACAGAAGCAGCAGGGATGCCAGAGCCTGCAGGTAGGACAGTAAGGGAAGGGGAGGGCAGGTGGTGTAGGCTCTGCAGGGACAGAGCTGCAGGGCTCAGCTTGTATGTGATCACCCAGCCACGTGGAGTGAACTCAGGAGCTGCTGGGGCAGGGGTGAAACAGACAGAGGGGTGAGCGGGGACTCCAGCCCCACGCCCTACATGCGACATGATAAGAAGAGGCGGCAGTTGCTGTGACTTTGCTGTTGACTGCATCTCTCTGGTTGGTGCACGCCAGGTGACGGACAGCCACAGTTGGGAGGTCACCATCTTCAGCAATGCGGTCGGCCTCGTCCACAGTGGGGTGGGAGAGTGAAAGATTGGAAGACCTAAGTTTCCAGAGGAGGACATCTGGCTGCCACCCGAGATTCCCAGCCTGCCCAATGGGTTTCAGACTTGCCCAGCCAGCCTGTTCCTTGAGCTGCATCTCTGTGTACTCACGCATATGCTACTGTAGGTTCAAGTCCTCCTAGGTCCATGACTGAGGCCCTGTGCCCAGAAGGATGGCATTCCAGGCTTGGATGCACCACGCGTGAGCAAGGTAATCAGGGCCCCCTCCAGGTGTGCAAACTGCCCCCACCCTGAAACCCTGCGTCCTGGTGCCACCTCTGCTGGAGTGAGGGCTCCCTCTTCCAGTTTGCACACAGATCCCCAAACCTGGTTCCCCTTTCCCCAGCGTATGCAAGAGCCAGTGGCTACCTTGAGGATGGCTTTAGAGGTCTTCCTAAATCTTTCTGAGCACCTTCTACTTTTCTGTAAGAGGAGAGTTGGGTCCTCAAGAAGTAATTGAAAGGATTTAAATGAAATAATTCCTCAAAAAAGCATATCACATTGTCTAGCACAGGGTTGCCATACAGGACAGTATCTCTTAGTAGATGTGCTCGCTATTCACTGCATTTGTTCGAAGTCCTGTGAGTAAGTGACAAAAACCAGTTCCATGTGACCTACACTGAGAAAGCTTCCTCTGTCTGGGATAGAAAGGAGGAAGCTTTGGGTGAAGCTGGGGCACTGTGTCTGGTGCAGATCAGCTAGGATGTGCTCCTGGAGCCCTGGGCAGGGGGGCAGATATCTGGGGAAGCAGGATCTTGGCCAGTGAGGGAGGAGAGCATCCATAGGGTCCACAGTGGCTCCTCAGAGGGCTTCCATCCTCCAGACGCTGCTCAAGGCAGTAAACTCAGAGTGACAGTGATCGACAGACACATTTTCCTTGGAGACAGACACCATCTTTTGGTTATCGCATGGCTATTTGGTGAGCTACTCACTGGGGTCCAGTGGCTGCTTGCGGTGTGTGTGGGGGGGTGTGTGTGTGGTTGAAACCAGGAGGATCTGCTTTTCACATGCTGATGCCCCCATGAGGGCACACAGGGAGCCCCTTCCCCAGCTAAAACACAGAGCTGCTGGGACAGGTATCTGGGGGGAAGATGGGCATCAGGCCACTAGGATTCCACCGAAGAAGATGCTCGCTTCACTATATTTTAGCAGTTTGATGCATATCCACCAGGCCCAAGGAGTGGCTTCGTTACCAGCTTCACAGCAGGCCCACTTATGGCTTCAGGTTTCATAGAGCCCAATGCATCATTGCAAACTGCTTTTGATGTGGGTTAGGAAGCTATGAGGCCACAATGCCTTGTGGGGTGTAGGGGCTTGGTGCCATGCAAGGAAACAAAGCCACAAGCTGTACTTTGTAGACCAGGGCATTTGAGATCCTAGATTCTAGGCTTGGAAGGATATGGGGAATAGTTTCTGCTCCCTCCCCCTGCCCTCTGGTAGGACCAGCTGTGTGCCGTCTGACATGAGCAGGTGCCATGAAACATGGGAATGCACGAAAGGTCACCAGGGGGAAAGACTTCAGGACCACAGAATGGGCAGAGTTGCACCTTCTCCCTCATCGGAAAGGGCCCACCTCCCATGGAAACCACTACGGAAATCACCACAGCTGCACGTGGCGCCGATTCCTTCCTGTCCTGCTCTTAGAGGGTAAAACAAGCTCAGTTCCCATCAGTTTGGTGCGTGTGCGTTGAGTGGCTCCTGCACACCCAGCCCGGGGCTCCCACTGAGGGCATTTTGGGGAATGGACAGCCAGTGGGGAGGCAGATGCCACGTGGCTGCCTTCATGCAGGTTCGCACTTGTGTGAATGAGGGCAGGGACATCTCAAATATTAACAGAGTCTCTCAGTACAGCAAAATTGGAAACAATGACCACCCACACTCCAGTTTTAGAATGTAGAAAAAATCAGATAATTTTAAACCTGGCAAAGTGAATTGTAAACTCTACTTTGTTGTCTCAGGTCGGTGCTGCTTGAGCTAGAAATGCTGAAAAATGCTTTCTTCACACGTATTTCTTTGCTTGAATTGTGCAGTAGATTTGAAACAGGTAAGACCTTTGTGAACAAATTCTTTGCATAAAATGCCCCTGCCCTCTATTTTGGGAGTAATGTTTAAATGCTATGTTAGCTGTCTGCTCAGTTCTTTTTTTTTTTTTTTTTTACATGAAAACTGTTTCAGTAGATGGGGTGGGAGTCGACTGCTGCATCCTGTGATCTGCCCCACGGCTGCTTTTGTAATAAAGTTTTATTGGAACTCAGCCACACCCTTTCATTTGCATTTTGCAGGGAGCTGCTGTCACAGGACAGTGGCAGGTTTGAATGTTTGCAGCAGAGAGCGCCATATGGTCTGAAATGTGTAACGTATTTGTGATCGAGACCTTTGCAGAAAGCTTGCCACCTCTTGGAGCATCACAGCGGTAGATAATTTCACCCGCCTGTGCCTTTGGGGCTGATTTCCAATCTTATGTCACTTATTGCCCTCTGGATGCCACCTCGCGTCTGTCCGACCTACTCTGTCCAGGCTGATTGGCAGGAGCCAGGAACTGGTGAAGAAGGCCAGATTTCAGGTTGTACTACAAAGCTGTGGTCATCAAGACAGTGTGGTACTGGCACAAAAACAGACACATAGATCAATGGAACAGAATAGAGAACCCAGAAGTGGACCCTGAACTTTATGGTCAACTAGTATTCGATAAAGGAGGAAAGACGATCCGCTGGAAGAAAGACAGTCTCTTCAATAAATGGTGCTGGGAAAATTGGACATCCACATGCAGAAGAATGAAACTGGACCACTCTCTTGCACCAAACACAAAGATAAATGCAAAATGGATGAAAGATCTAAATGTGAGACAAGATTCCATCAAAATCCTAGAGGAGAACACAGGCAACACCCTTTTTGATCTTGGCCACAGTAACTTCTTGCAAGATACATCCACGAAAGCAAAAGAAACAAAAGCAAAAATGAACTATTGGGACTTCATCAAGATAAGAAGCTTTTGCACAGCAAAGGATACAGTCAACAAAACTCAAAGACAACCTACAGAATGGGAGGAGATATTCACAAATGACATATCAGATAAAGGGCTAGTTTCCAAGATCTGTAAAGAACTTATTAAACTCAACAGCAAAGAAACAAACAATCCAATCATGAAATGGGCAAAAGACATGAAGAGAAATGTCACAGAGGAAGACATAGACATGGCCAACACGCACATGAGAAAATGCTCCGCATCACTTGCCATCAGGGAAATACAAATCAAAACCACAATGAGATCCCACCTCACACCAGTGAGAATGCGGAAAATTAACAAGGCAGGAAACAGCAAACGCTGGAGAGGATGCGGAGAAAAGGGAACCCTCCTGCACTGTTGGTGGGAATGTGAACTGGTGCAGCCACTCTGGAAAACTGTGTGGAGGTTCCTCAAAGAGTTAAAAATAGACCTGCCCTACGACCCAGCAATTGCACTGCTGGGGATTTACCCCAAAGATTCAGATGCAATGAAACACTGGGACACCCGCACCCCGATGTTTCTAGCAGCCATGTCCACAATAGCCAAACTGTGGAAGGAGCCTCGGTGTCCATCGAAAGATGAATGGATAGAGAAGCTGTGGTCTATGTATTCAATGGAATATTCCTCAGCCATCAGAAAGGACAAATACCCACCGTTTACTTCGACGTGGATGGACCTGGAGGGTATTATGCTGAGTGAAGTAAGTCAGTCGGAGAAGGACAAACAGTGTATGTTCTCATTCATTTGGGGAATATGAATAATAGTGAAAGGGAATAGAAGGGAAGGGAGAAGAAATGTGTGGGAAATATCAGAAAGGGAGACAGCACATAAAGACTCCTAACTCTGGGAGATGAACTAGGGGTGGTGGAAGGGGAGGAGGGCGGGGGTGGGGGTGACTGGGTGATGGGCACTGAGGGGGGCACTTGACGGGATGAGCACTGGGTGTTATTCTGTATGTTGGTAAATTGAACACCAATAAAAATTAACTTATTAAAAAAATAAAAATAAAAATAAAAATAACTTTTCATACCCAGAAATATACAACATAAAAAAAAAAAAAAGAAGGTGGCTTTTGGGCGGAGGAGACTCCATCACCGTTTTGTGGGAGTTTGAGTGGGTACACAGCAGGCAGCCTCCCCTGTGCCAGGCACTGCGTCAGGCATGGGGACTCAGCCGTGGACAAGGTGGAGTGGGTTCTTGCTTTCCGTGGGACTCATACTGTTGCAGAGGGACATGTGATATGCAGAGAAGGCATTAGGATAGGCTTGGCAGCTTCTGTGTGCCATGAGGATAGACAAGGAGGGAATTCGGATGGAGAGACGGGAGGGTCAATTCCTACTTTGCAGCGGTGCTCATGATGGCCTCACACGTGCACCGAGAGCCAGGCAGGGGTCTGGGGGCTGAGGTGCAGAGTGACTCTTCACACAATTGTTTGTCATTGATATGCTTATGTAGTAAGCACGTGACACATGCTGGCTGCCAGTCATGAGCTAGAATATTATTAAATCATGGACCTTGTCACTGTCCAGGAGTTCACAAGTCGCCTAATGTAATAGGGTGGACCAGATTTCCAGGTTTGGATCCTGGCTCCTCCAGGTGCTGTGTGACCTTGGGCAAATTGCTTAACCTCTCTGAGTCTTTTCTTTCTTTCTTTCTTTCTTTCTTTCTTTCTTTCTTTCTTTCTTTCTTTCCTTTCTTCCTCTTTCTTTCTTTCTTTCTTTCTTTCTTTCTTTCTTTCTTTCTTCTTTCTTTTTTAAGAACTTATTTGTTAATTCATGAGAAAAACACAGAGAGAGATAGAGACATAGGGAGAGGGAGAAGCAGGCTTCCTCTGGGGAGCCTGATGCAGGACTTGATCAAGACCCTGGGATCACGGACCTGAGCCAAAGGCAGATGCTCAACCCCTGAGCCACCCAGGGGCCCTGAGTCTTGGTTTTCTTAATAGCAAAATGGGGATGATCATGGTTGGGCTCAGTGGACAGTAGTGAGATGTGAAGGCTAATGGCAGTGCCTGATACAAAAATCACCCCACCCCGTACATGGCTTGAGCCCCACTTAGCTCTGACAGCAGGCATCTGGCAACCCCACCCAGTGTGTGATCCAACAGCACTGATGAGTCGCACTGGAGAGAAAACACGTGGGGATCAGGACCGAGTGGTGAGTTTTCTCAGAGAACTGGAAGTATAAGGATGAGGTGATATGTTTGGCTTTGTGGGGTAGAAGAGGACTGCATGAGGAGGATTTGTTCCAGAGGCTCAAAACGTGCTCCAGTGGATGGGTGAGAGCGTTGGGGATGCGACTAGACACTGCAGTCCCCCGGGGTCTGTGCTGTCCTGAAGGGTGGCCCAGAACCCGATTCTGGGCTCGTTCTACTGTCCTTGCTTCAAGGGTAGCCAGTCCTCACAGATGCGTCTCCGCATGAGACATCCTCCAGGGTCCCTAAGGCCCCCTCATCCCATTACTTATGTCTATGTTGATCATACCCCGAAACGCTATTTTGGATTGGGGGTTAAGGAAAGTATGCTATCCCAATCAACTGTACTTGTTTCCTTGACTTTCTACACATGGCTACGAAGACACTCAACACATACCACGGCACGCGTTACATTTCGGCAGGACGGTGCCGATCTAGATAAACAGGCTAGTGTATGTGTTAACTGGTGAATCTACTGCGCACACGTGTCATTTGGCTTGTACTGTGTTTTCAAGATACTTGAATTGATTAGGGAACTTTAAACCATTGCATCATTGTCACGTAAAAATGGAGTTTTCAGTTTCTCAAGAAACCTTGAGACCAAGCCACCCACTGGGCCTGGGGCAAGTGGCCCCTGTCTCCTGCAGCCCCATTCTCTGCGGATTCCTCTCCGCCGTCCCCCACTGCATCCCTCTCGTGGGATCTGGCCTTTGGGCTGTGTCTGACCCAGTTCCCAGGTTTGGGGGAGATGTCCCACTTCCTCTGCCTGACCTTACTTCTGGGTTAGACAGGGAGCCAAGATCACTTGGGTGACAGCCCATCATGCAGTTGGGACCCCCAGGGTCCCTGCCTCAGTCTCCCTGCGTGTGATGTGAAGTGAGCATTAATTATATGTTTAGAGCAGGGCCTGGGAAGTGTAATTACTGTCTATCTGTTTGTAAAGCCCCACGGCATGGCTGGCCTACAACCTGCAGAGACAGTTTTTTTTTTTAATTTTTTAAAATTTATTTATTTATGATAATCACACACAGAGAGAGAGAGAGAGAGAGAGGCAGAGACACAGGCAGAGGGAGAAGCAGGCTCCATGCACCGGGAGCCGGATATGGGATTCGATCCCGGGTCTCCAGGATCGTGCCCTGAGCCAAAAGCAGGCGCCAAACCGCTGCGCCACCCAGGGATCCCTGCAGAGACAGTTCTCATCGGGCTTTTGCCTGTGGTCCTCGCTCTGAGCTGAGGGAAGGTGAGTCACTGGGCTCCTGCGTGCATGCAGATGGTCGGCCAGCACAGGTCTCTGTGCAGCCTCACAGCCAGTCTGTATCCCTGGACATCACCAGTGTGCTCATCCACAGAGCATCTCACCCAAAGTGGCATAATTAATACCCTGAGTCCAGGTACCCCTGTGCTTGAGGCCTCCACTAACCAGCCAAGCCTCCCAGACTACCTCGGGACCAGACAGGGTTACTACCAAGCCCTGAGGTCTTCTGGTACCTTCCAGAAGGGAATGGAACCCTAACCAGATTGAGCCTCCAGGTTAAGAAGAGGACAGCAGGTGGGATTTGCTGTCCTGCCTTGGGATGAGTCCCTTTGAAGGATGATGTGCGATACTCCCTTTGAGAACCACTTGGGCAGGACTCAGGTTCTCCTATAGGTATTACCTGTTTTCCGAGCCATAAAGCTGACCATTAGCAGGGGTGGGGGTGGGCTGCAGGGAGCTGAGGAAGGAGGGGCCCAGCAGGGAGGGGGGCAGGGCTACCACGGATGGAGGGAAGGAGGCCCAAAGGCAAGCCGTAGTGGTCCTCTCACCTCACTGTTGGCCCTAAGGACCCATGGGCAGCACTCTGCTGGTCTCCAGGCCACAGGTTGGCACCGTCAGTACCCACCAGGCTACCTGTCAGGGCACAGGGAGCATAGGGATGCTATCATCAAAGCTACTGTGCTTAAAAGTCCATCCTAGAACCCCTGCATGGAGGAGCCCCTGCTGGGATTTCAGTGAGTCTCGCAGCTGAGTGCTCAGTCCTGCCCTCCCTCAAGAGCCATCCTTGGCTCATTGTCCCCTCCTCATCTTTCCTCCCAACTTCTGTTGTCTCTGTCATCGGGATCATGCCATTGAGTGTGGCCTGAGATACTGTGTTCTGTCTGACTTGGGCTCTGAAGATATTGTCTCTCTGCAGACAAGAACTCTGTCCCTCGGGTGTTTTGTTTTTTTTTGTTTGCTTGGGATTTGCGGGTTTTGTCTGTTTAGGTGTTTTGGGGTTTTTTTGTTTTTTTTTGTCTTTTTGTGTTTGTGGGGTTTTTTTTTTTTTCTTCTATTTTTGGATTTCTCTGTGGTGCCTGGGCTACTGTTAGGTAGCTACTAAAGTGGTGGACAGATGGGCTATGGGCCCTCATTGGTGTTGTTGGGTCCACTGTACAGACCAGACACAAACCCTGCCTGATGGGGGATGGCTCACCCACCAGGAGGGAGGCACCAGGGTGCACCACGTCTTGGGGGGCTGAG